TTATTGCTACTGCACTAAAATTTGGTTTTGCTTCTACAATTATTTTTGCCTTAGTAACCAAGTTTTTTTTTTTTTTGAGACAGAAAAAAGGAGTTTCCCATGTTATCTCTTACTACATTAGAATATTAAAATGTACTGAATTTTGAAGTTTTTCTTTTCTAGCTATAACATGACAGCAATTATAAAGATTTATTTTTATATTTTCATGATTTTAGCCAAGAAATATATTAGTACATACACATGAAAGATAATTCAACATAATTCTGTAAATATTTAGAAATAACTTGTAGCTAGTTTTCAATTGCATTAATAAGTAAAAGATAATATTATATTTTCTGTCTAAAACTTTATTTCAATGTATATATTTCTTAGAAATATTCTAAATATATAAAATTGCTTGTCCTGACTGACTGAATGACTCACTCACTAACTGATTCATCGCCCAGAGCAGACCGCTTAACCTAAAGAGGTGAAATTTGGTAGACAGAGTACATCATGGAAATGCACACTAAGAAGGGATTTTTTGAAATTCCCCTGCAGGGGGGAGAGGGTGAGCATTATAAGGCTTAACCGGAAGAATGGCTTCTACTGTACTATTTTAGATGCGATTTTTTATCTGTGTTTTAGTAGGGTATGCCACGGCAATGCGCACTAAGAAGGGATTTTTTGAAATTCCCCCGTGGGGGGAGAGGGAGAGGATTTAGTCTTCATCGCGTACTTAGGTGTATTAAATTAATAACATTTCACACTTTGTTATAAATATTTTTATCTATTTCGATTTTAAAAATGTTCGAACCATTTTAAATTCGAATTTGTTATTGCATATTGGTTCGATTGTAAACGTTCCAGAAAATTGATCAAATTGAAAATAGTTTGTTTGATTCTCAGCAATTCTCATCATTCTAAGCAGTAGATGTTATATAACAATTACTATGGTTGTTGAAATACTGAATATAAATGGGTTTGCTTGCAAAATCCGCCACGGGTAACAGCTAGTATATATATGTAAGGTCTTTCAGTCAAATTATTCTGTGAGTTTGCAACGTGGAAATCTCAAAGAGGGATATAAAAAAAGAAGAAAGCTATCACAGAAACTCCCAGGAAAGAAAGCAGCATATTATATATATATATATATGCTTCTTTCTTTATATAGCATATATATATATACATATGTATATGTATAATGGTCTATAACAAAGTTTGTGCTTTTATGTATGTTCCTGGGTACCTAGTTCAGTCTTAATGATAGTTTTTGGAGATCAACTGGGATTTGGCTGCTGCATTACATCTAAGTACAGGTATCCCTTCATTAACATGATTAATTAATTCCTTAATGCTACCACATATATCAAAATCATGTTAATCAAATACAGTGGTACCTCAGTACTCAACCAAGCAATCACCACCTGCTAGAACAAATTTTTGGTTAATAATAATGGAAAGCAACCTAAATAAGAGTTGTAGCTAAGATTTTTATGGCAAACTGCAGCATCCAAGCAACTTTTCCACCTGCCTTTGCAATCCGAATAGCAATTAAGGAATTTCTTGAGATCCCATATCTTTCTCTCACACATTTCGTTCCTGGCAGCATGATAAAGTGATGTAGTTTTTAATGTGATATTCCTGTCTATGGCCCATTGCTTGAAACTGTCCAATTTAAAGGTAGATCCGCAATCACTGATGGTAGTAGTTACCTTATTGAATAATGGTAAATTATCCAAATAATGATGACACTATGTACAGTACATCCTCCTTCATTAGCTTTAGCATATGCTATCCATGTAGCTTCGTCTATGACCACTAGAAATAATTTAGTCATTCTAACAAATATTTTTATTTTAATAAACATAAATAGCAAATTCATTAATACTTTATTTGTCATGAAAAACATACCTGTGTTAAGTACAGATGACTGTTAAAGCCATGTTAATTAAAACTTTTGCTGTATATAAAAAGGGATTACCACAATTAATTTTACATGTTAATCAAATCCCACATTAAGCTAAACCATGTTAAGCAAGTGATACCTGTATAGGTAGTTAAGCACATTTTAGTCAGTGAGGAGTCAAAACCACAGTAAGTGAATGATTGGTGTGAAGGTGATTTTTATTTAAGGATGAAATCATTAAATAACTTTACTATCACAGAGATTAAGAAATTGTTAAAGGCAAGGAAATTTTCAACAGGGGGGGACAAAAACCAAGCTTAACACTTATCTGTGAGTATCAGACTGTATTGGAGAATAGACAATGGCGATGCAAGAGACCATCACTGGAGACAACAATTATCAGTCTAGGGAAACCAACATAGAAGTAGCAACTGAAATACTAAATGTTGAGACAACAGACTCAGCGAATACAGGTATGATTTGAAGAGATCAAATTGTACTGAAAGGAGAAAGTGCTTGCTGAGAAAGAGTTGACATTAGCTCAGAAAGAAATTGAGATGCTTCAGCAGGCCCAGTTGGATAGAGACATTCACACCCAAAGTCAGGCTGGAAGTGACTATATTGAATAGTCTATTGTTGATTGGGTATTGTGCGACTACCTTGTTCAATGGTTCACTGGAACATATATACAAGAACTGCAGGTCACTATCAACCTGGATCAACTGCTTGTAAAGTAGCTATGCTATGGGAAAGAATCCACAGACATCTGATAACCATCAATATCCAGAGAGCAAATGGTCAAGTTGAAAGACTCAACAGGTGCTTATTCCATTACTGACTAAGTTGTTGGTGCCCAAGTCAAACAAATGGTTCAAACATCTGGATCAGGCCCAGCAATGCATCAACACAACGTGGACTCATTCTACTGGAGCCACTCCTTTTCAACTTCTATTTGTGGTCTCCTCACAATTGAAAGATCATCCAATGATGATTGAGTTGCTTCTGCAAGAAATCTCTAACAACTTTGACAAGGAGAAGAATGACTTAAGGAACAGGTGTGCAATAGCATTCAGAAGATGCAACAAGATAACAAAAGGTAACAATCGAAAAGACATAATCCAACCCAGGAGATACTGGAAAATTTATTTGGTGGCCATTAGACAAATACAACACTGATACAATACTGATATGTTGTACATAAGACAGGAGAGCATGAGGATTCAACTCAAATGTCTACTGCAGCAAATTCTATTAAGCCTTAGCTGGATTATGACAGCAACTATACAGATGGGGAGTATGTGAATCTTGACAAGGACCCTTTGTTGAATTCACTGAAATAAAATATTCAGGGCAGATGTCTTCATAAGATGGCTGAATGTAGAATCTTGCAATTGAATTGTGAAGCTCCGGAAGTAGGTCAAAATTCGTGCACAGAAAATGTTTTAATTTCGTATGGAAAAATTTTTTTATAATTATAATTATTATTCTTATAATATTGTAAAAAGAAACCATCGAACGCAAAATGAATATTTTATGTCCATATAAGAACATATCTGTAAAAATTTTTAAGAAAGTTGAACTACTCAGGTTAATACAATGTATGAATTTCAGTACTTAGATTGAACATCTTCGATAGGAATCAAATTGTCAATCGGAGTTGACTCATCCCGCGATCTGGGCACTGATCTCGTTACAATTTGTAACGGGTAAGGGGACCAATTAGAGAGCGGGGGTAGATCGGCATCGACCTATCAGAATGTTCGATCTGGGACCCAGAAAAACTTATAAAAACCGCGCAAAAAAGGATGTGACGTTCTTGGTTCTTAGTTCGGTGTGATCTGCTCCTGGATTTTTCTTGCGGTTCAACAATGGAACTTGGTCGTCGTTCCGGAAGAAGTTTTCATCATCCCATCCTGGCAAGTTTCGCCAAGTTAACCTGCTATGAGAATCACCCCTTCAAGTTGTGCTGTGCACCCTGGAGCCTACGTTTTTCTCATCATCTTCACCAGAAGGAGAGATGATCATCGAAAAGACTGAACTTTATTTACGAACTGATTCACTCTGCGGATAGGCCTTATGCCGAAGAAAAACAGTAGTTGTAAGAAAAATTTTTATATTTATTAAACGATATAAGATGGAGAACTTGTCTCAGTAAGTTTTTTCACTCCCACACGACAGTGCTGACCACTCGACTGTCGCGACACTTTCTCCCCAATCGGCAAACCTCACAGAATTACTCTTAAGTGTGCAATGCAGAAATCACCTTAAGAGGGTGGGTGTGAAAAAGAAAAGTGTGTGTCATCTTAGGGAATCTGAAGAAAGAAAGAAAAGTGGCACAAATACAAGTGTATAATAGTTAATACAGCAGAGCCTCGAAAACTCGGCCTAATGTGGACCGAAGGGTGGCCGAGTTTGTGAAAATGCCGGGTTATCGGGAATGGGGTTAAAAAAGGATAAGTATGCGTGTTTCCTCAGAAAATATTGTATTGTACTTGTATGTATTGTTTGCTTGAGAATACAACAGAGAATAAACTGCCCAAATACCCTTAAACAAAGGAAAAGTACATACTTTATGAAGGCATAGAGCCTTTACTACGTGAAAATGAAAATTAATGAATACATAGTGTACAGTAATTTACCTGATAAGACAGACCTCAGAAAAATACTTTATGAGGCATAAAGCTGTCTATGATGAAAATTAATTATCTAAGGTTATTTTTGCTCTGCCAGGGTGTGGCCGAGTTATCGAGTGCCAAGTTTTCGAGGCTCTACTGTACTTTCAAGTATGTTTTCAGGCACCTAGTTCAGTGTTAACATCATTTATATATAGCAAACCTTTAATTTAACAGATAAAAATTTTCTCTTCTATAGGAAAAATTTTAAATCTTTTCTATTCACAAATAGCACAACAGGCACATTGCCTAATATAGGGTTTAATATAGCTAGATAAGAAAATAAATGACAGTCAGTTTCATTAAAAATGGATTGTCATTGGTTTCCTTATCTAGTTGTATTAATTAATATAATTAATGTAACATTATAATTAATTCTAAACCATGTTTGTTATTCTGAAACAAATCAGAAAAAAATCATAAAAGTTTTTATAATTTACCTGAATAAGCAGAAGCATCATAAGTTGATCCTGTATTTATGAAATGTTGACAAACTTCTTCACCTGTTAATATTGAAGTCTGAGATTGCTATAAAAAAAATAAATTAAGGTTCTTTTTATAAAATTCAAATATTTCTTGTTTTAGAAAATATACAGTAGAATCTGCTTATTGTAATCACTTGAGATTCATGTACTGTATAATGATAACCATAACTGACTGATAACATTAAATGGGGTAAGAAAATGAGACTAGTTAGTGGATTTTGATTTTATTACCTCTGAATTAAAGAGACATGTAAAAACAAATAAAAAACATTATATGTTCACTTCAGATTATGTGTTTTTACATCCTATTCAATTAATACTGGTATCTAGTCATACACTAGACTAGGGGTCCCCAAAGTGGATGATAAGAGTTCTCCAGGGGTCGATTAATACACGAGGGTCAAAAGGGGGTCGATTAATACCAAAGAAGATCAATTAAATTGTCTAGGAACAAAATAGAATATTCCAATAAAAATTCAAAATACAGATATGATCAACAACATTACTGACTACCCTAATTATAACTTGACTTTTGCCTTAGCCTACGCAGCTTTAAGCATGTGTTACTCTGTTTTCACACATCACATGTTTTCACACAGACATACGTTGCACTGTTACACTCTAGTAGGGTTGTTACTCTAAGTATTTTATATCTAAATGTAGATATTTTGTCCTTTATAGAGAAAATATTGTAATATATCGAAAATCATTAATATAGTACAGAAGCGTTTGCAAGAAAAAATAGCCTTTCAAGTAAAAATGGAGCTATTTAAATCTTCACTGGCACAATCCGATTTTAAATATTTTTCAAACTTGCGAGTACTAAAAGAAAATGAAAAGATTTCAGACCGTGATTTGGAGATATATATTAAACATCCTGTTAAATTAAGAGACGACTTTAAAGCATGTTTCAAAGACTTGGAGAATATGCATGCTCCTGAATGGTTTGCTAATCCATTTGATGTGAAAATAGATAATGAAGGCAGTGAAACTGGCTTAGAAGATGAATTGAGTGAAATATGTGTATATCTGGAAGCTAAAGCGTTGTTTAAAAATAAAAACCTCAATGAATTTTGGAGCAATAACAATATTGCCACTAAATATCCCAAGCTCAGAGCAGAAGCCGAACCTTTCTTACTTGCATTCCCAACTTCATACGAGGTTGAAGCTGGTTTTAGCCACGCTAATGCAATTTTGACAAGACAGAGGAACAGATTGAACTTGGAAAACCATGGTGATTTGTGACTAAAACTTACCAATTTTCAACTGAATATCAATAATCTTGCTGCTTCTCTTCAGAGACATCCATCCCACTAATATCAACTATTTTAATAAAAAGGTATGTCTACATATTTTTAAGGCATTCAGTACTAGTTGCAAAATGACAGTAAGAGGTTTTTTCATCCAATATAACTAATGTTATGTTTTCAAAGATAAGTGTGTATTTTACATATTATGACAGGTACGGTTTAAGAACTATAGGCAAATTTCCATCTATCCATAATTTTGCTATTATTTTTTAAGATTATAAATCAGTGAAAAATATCTCCTTTTTCTGTTTATGTTATTGAGTGGATTTTATAAAATATGGAAACTATAAATTCTTTTGTAGGGTTGTTATGCTGGTCTCCTTATCGCTTAATGTTAGAAATGCAAAAACGATTTAATGTTTTTGTCAAATACTTAATCTGGGGGTCGATAAGAAGGCAAATATTCTATAAAGGGGTCAATGGGATAAAAAGTTTGGGGACCCCTACACTAGACCAAGACTCAAGGCATAGCTAAAGAAAAACTGTTTTTATGTGCTGTTCATGTATGTATCTGTATATAAAAATTTCTTATATGACATGTTTAGTATGGCTGCTTTCTGCAATATGGTGTGTATGTTGTTAATGCCTAATGCTTCTAGATTCTTGTATAGTGTAAGTGGTATGACATCTGTGCAAAAAAATAACTACAGGCACAATACGCATCTTATCTTTTTACTACACACATTTTATTTTGTGGGTTCTGGAAATTTACTAATTTTTCAGTGTGTGTATTTTGTATGTTGTGCCAACCCGTACTTTATATACATATATCAATAAAGTATGTGATTTTTTTCATTTTGTTTGTCAATGAATGTGATGGCTGACCTGTTTTGATCAACTCTTTTCTCTCTGATAGTATAGACAGGCTCAGTCATAGTATATTTATTGTGTGTTGTAAACCTCTTCTTTATACTATATTCATGTTCCTTGATCCTCGCCACTAGGGCTCTTAGTGACTCTAATGTACTCAAAGATATAGTTTACCCAGCATCACGCAGTGAGATGATGTAGAAGCATGATAAATAGGATTTCTCTACTCAGTCATTGTCATTTCTTATCATCATAAACACCATGTCTTCTATATATCAATCTGAGGTTAACAAACCCGACAATTTCCTTACAACACAGCACTGACTTCCTATGCAAAGGTAATGATGTTAAGGTTGAATATGTGGGAGCATGCCTGTTACATCATACTTCTGACTCAGTTTGTTTGAAGTATTTGGAATGTTCAGAGATCTATAAGGCTGTCAAGAAACATACACTGATCAACTACAAGGAGGATTCATTAACTGCAACTTGGAGAGTATTGCATAAACTACCATAATTTCCCCCACATTAGAAGTGTAAGAAAGCATAAACAAATGTATAAATGTATCAGTTATTTATGTTTATTTCCATATACTGAAGAAACAATGTACCATGCATGTGTTAGTTTCTGCTGGAAATATATGATTAGAATACATTTTTTAAACTTAAACTGTTCTATTTTTTTAAAATGTTGGTTCCATCCTGTATTTAACAGTTGTATGCTGAGGTTATCTGTTTGAAAATGATGAAAACCTTTGTTTGAGTAAGGTGTTGAAGTTTATTTGCTGGTTTTGGGTGTAGTGTATATTATTTTTACCTAATATCAGTTTTGTATGCTGATTGTAGTACTTCATAAGTATGGATGATAAATTCATTTATTTCTTATACCCATTTCATCTATTAACACGGTTTTCTGTCCCTGGTGGTCAGTGGCTGGCCTTGCCACTGAAGCACTTTGACAGAGTTTATTTGTATCCATAGTATGTGAGGTGGTGATTGTGATAATAATGTAGTAGCCATACTTAGGCCTGTGTTTTGTTCACCAATAGCAGCCAAAGGTAACAATAATAGGCTTTCCAAATATGAGCCTCTGCCTAATCAAGAATATGAACGTTGTTTAACAAGGCAACATCTGAGTCAATATCATACTGAAAACATGTAAGAATTATATTTTTTTCTGCAATTGTATGTGTTTATATAGCTAAAGCAAAATGTTTATATATCAGCTGCTCCTAATATGGAGATCAAATGCTGTTTAGCAGCCATCTGATCTGGAATAGATGGCTGCTAAATAGCATATATATACACATATGCGCGCACACACACACTTTTCAAACTTATCATATATTCAGACCTTTTCTAAATTTTCCTTCTCCTTAAGAGCACTTAATGCCAGAGCATTAATATCTGCTGCACTGTTGTTGACAATTTCTTGCAATCTTTCTGAAACAACATTCCAAAATTGAACTGCTTTCAATTTTTCTTCTGCCATCATTTCAGGAACTAATGATACTGCTTCTTCTATCTACAAATTAAAATTGAAAATATCAACTAATTAAACTTTATTTTAATAAATAATCAAAATTTAAAAACTTATTAATATATGACTGAAGTAAAATAAAAATACGTGCTGTTCATGTATGTATCTGTATATAAAAATTTCTTATATGACATGTTTAGTATGGCTGCTTTCTGCAATATGGTGTGTATGTTGTTAATGCCTAATGCTTCTAGATTCTTGTATAGTGTAAGTGGTATGACATCTGTGCAAAAAAATAACTACAGGCACAATACGCATCTTATCTTTTTACTACACACATTTTATTTTGTAGGTTCTGGAAATTTACTAATTTTTCAGTGTGTGTATTTTGTATGTTGTGCCAACCCGTACTTTATATACATATATCAATAAAGTATGCGATTTTTTTCATTTTGTTTGTCAATGAATGTGATGGCTGACCTGTTTTGATCAACTCTTTTCTCTCTGATAGTATAGACAGGCTCAGTCATAGTATATTTATTGTGTGTTGTAAACCTCTTCTTTATACTATATTCATGTTCCTTGATCCTCGCCACTAGGGCTCTTAGTGACTCTAATGTACTCAAAGATATAGTTTACCCAGCATCACGCAGTGAGATGATGTAGAAGCATGATAAATAGGATTTCTCTACTCAGTCATTGTCATTTCTTATCATCATAAACACCATGTCTTCTATATATCAATCTGAGGTTAACAAACCCGACAACTTCCTTACAACACAGCACTGACTTCCTATGCAAAGGTAATGATGTTAAGGTTGAATATGTGGGAGCATGCCTGTTACATCATACTTCTGACTCAGTTTGTTTGAAGTATTTGGAATGTTCAGAGATCTATAAGGCTGTCAAGAAACATACACTAATCAACTACAAGGAGGATTCATTAACTGCAACTTGGAGAGTATTGCATGAACTACCATAATTTCCCCCACATTAGAAGTGTAAGAAAGCATAAACAAATGTATAAATGTATCAGTTATTTATGTTTATTTCCATATACTGAAGAAACAATGTACCATGCATGTGTTAGTTTCTGCTGGAAATATATGATTAGAATACATTTTTTAAACTTAAACTGTTCTATTTTTTTAAAATGTTGGTTCCATCCTGTATTTAACAGTTGTATGCTGAGGTTATCTGTTTGAAAATGATGAAAACCTTTGTTTGAGTAAGGTGTTGAAGTTTATTTGCTGGTTTTGGGTGTAGTGTACATTATTTTTACCTAATACCAGTTTTGTATGCTGATTGTAGTACTTCATAAGTATGGATGATAAATTCATTTATTTCTTATACCCATTTCATCTATTAACACGGTTTTCTGTCCCTGGTGGTCAGTGGCTGGCCTTGCCACTGAAGCACTTTGACAGAGTTTATTTGTATCCATAGTATGTGAGGTGGTGATTGTGATAATAATGTAGTATCCATACTTAGGCCTGTGTTTTGTTCACCAATAGCAGCCAAAGGTAACAATAATAGGCTTTCCAAATATGAGCCTCTGCCTAATCAAGAATATGAACGTTGTTTAACAAGGCAACATCTGAGTCAATATCATACTGAAAACATGTAAGAATTATATTTTTTTCTGCAATTGTATGTGTTTATATAACTAAAGCAAAATGTTTATATATCAGCTGCTCCTAATATGGAGATCAAATGCTGTTTAGCAGCCATCTGATCTGGAATAGATGGCTGCTAAATAGCATATATATACACATATGCGCGCACACACACACTTTTCAAACTTATCATATATTCAGACCTTTTCTAAATTTTCCTTCTCCTTAAGAGCACTTAATGCCAGAGCATTAATATCTGCTGCACTGTTGTTGACAATTTCTTGCAATCTTTCTGAAACAACATTCCAAAATTGAACTGCTTTCAATTTTTCTTCTGCCATCATTTCAGGAACTAATGATACTGCTTCTTCTATCTACAAATTAAAATTGAAAATATCAACTAATTAAACTTTATTTTAATAAATAATCAAAATTTAAAAACTTATTAATATATGACTGAAGTAAAATAAAAATACATTAATCTACTTCAAATTATTCAAATTTAATGTAAAAATATTTTATCAATTAAACTACTTGTTATAACTACAGTCGACCCCTCCTGTAACACTGTTGATAATTCCATTTTATATGAATTCCATGTTGTACGAGTCACTTAGATTTTACAAATACGTGTGCTGGGCTGTGAATGGCTCACGTATTTGTAAAATCTAAGTGACATGTACAACATGGAATTCATATAAAACGGAATTATCAACAGTGTTATGGGGGTGGTCGGTTTGTATATTTTTATCAATAATGATTGTCTCATTTTTAGAGCCTTAAATACTCAAAAGAACTCAAACATAGTATGAAATATAAAGAAATAATTTCTTTTATAATATAAAAGGAATAATATAAAAAAAGTAATTTGTTTCATATAAATCATGGCAGAAAATTATATTCTGAATTTATGCTGTTAAATGAATATATAACTAATGAAAAGTTATGAATAGGACCTTAAAAAAGATTTGAAAATATCAATATAAAAATATTCTATTATTTTAATGACAATAACCTTTAAACATATAATATATATGTTATGCTTGCTGGGAAAAATGCATTGATGGATAGAGATTTTTCACTCATTGGATAGAATATGGATTTCATACAAACTGCAATAACACCATTGGTAGTAAAATGTCTGAAGTCAACACTGTACATGGGGCCCCCTAATTCAAATTTGCCCTGGTCCCATGAAGCTATAACATGCCATTTGTTCTCTTTCACTAATGATCAAGTAATCTCATAATTTTCCTTTATAAATCTTGGAAATTAAGAATTACAGTGTGTACTATAAGTTATTTAAACTAAAAAAATTTCCAAAAATTGTTTAAATTTAAATGTTTATATAAAATTAAAATGTGAATATGTAATTAATATACTTGGATTTTTAATTTATTAATAATATAGTGTTTTTCAAATGCTGTATGAAATTTATTTTGTAAAGCTATTTTGTATAACTTTACTTTTATGTAAAATTTAAATTGTGTTCAAATTTACATAATGTTCAAATATTCCAATTTTTTTCTTAAATTTGAAAATGTCTTTAGTTAATTAAAACTAGAATACTCTGATATATAAGATTCATTTTTATGTTTGTATATGAAGGAGATTGTTGCTATATAGCACTCTGAATGCATATTTTATAAATAACTTATGACAAATTGAAGACTTAAACCTATAAATTTACACATTATAAAATTCAATACTTAAATAAAATAAATTTTATTTTTGTTTTGTTGTAATATGTCAATGTCAATACAGTTGTATTTGACATCCTAAACCCCAAGAAGTCAATACACTTTTATAAAAGTGTAATGATTTCTTGGGTTTAAGGATTCCAAAAGCAATACTTTAAAAAAATATATAAAATAGCTTTACAGAATAAATTTCATACAGCATTTGAAAAACACTATATTAGAAAGAAAAATACTTCCGAATTTCCTCCAAAACATCATAATTTACAAACGATACGTTGACGACATCATTGTTCTCTGGAGAGACCCTCCGAACATCACCCAATTCGTGGATCAAATGAACGACAATCCATATGGTCTTACCCTGGAGGTCGAACAGCACAGCGACTCATCGGTGCATTTTCTGGATTTGAATATTGACTTTGGAGGACCGATCATACACACCTCCATGTACCGCAAACCATCAGACAAACCAACTTATATCCCGGCAGACTCATGTGACCCTGTCCAATACAAGATGGCGGCGTTCAGGGCTCTAGTTAAAAGGGCTCACTCACACTCTTCTACTCAAGAGGCCTTAGAACAGGAAATACAATACCTATACGAAGTGGCCAAACAGCATGGATACCATAACATCATACAAAAAATGTCGCAACAGTTTGGAGAAACGATGTCTCCTTCTAAAAGAATTAATTCAATAGATGCTAACCAAAAGGAGGATAAACTGAGGGTGTCGGTTACTTACAACCCACTGTTGAAATCAATACATAATAGAATCGCACGGCAGAAGGGTATCTCCCTAACCTTCAGAAGATGCCCAACCATATTTGGTATTCTACGTAATGGAAAAGACAAATCTAAGGAAGAAAGAATGCCGGGGGTATATAAAGTGCCACTTAGGGACCATCGTTTTGGGAAGGACTTAATTTACATAGGCTCAACAAAACGAGCTGTTGGGATCAGATTGAAAGAACATATGCGTGACATCCAGCAAAATAAATGTACCACTTCCTTATCAACTTACGCGTCTGATCCAGAAATAACTGCGGACTTTTCAAATGCTAAATTAATCACCACCACCTCATATTTAGACCATCTCAAATGGTTGGAGCAGATAGAATTATGCAAGGCATACAACACTACATCACCGATCAATTCCAGAGATGAAATCTCTCTTTCTTTGGCATGGCAGGCCCTATTACAACAGGAGGTTTAAGTGCGTCGTAATCCTAAAAGAAAGGAAGTAAATGCGTTATCTAAAATTATGTGATATGTTTTGTGGTCTTAACAACAAAGTTATTCATAAAATCTTTAAAAACGATGGAAAATATTTAAATATCTGTCAATATGACGTAGAAGATATGACGTTCAGAGATATAGATCACGTGATTCTGTTCTATCTTTTCAGTTTTAAAAATCGTTCTAAACGAATATTTTTCGTACTTCGTAAATCTTCAAATGATTTTTGCCTGAAGATGGACCCAGGAGGGGTCTGAAAACGTTTGTACTATTAAATTTTTATTTCGCATCGGTTAAAGGTTTTTTCTAAGGTACGTGATATTTAGTTAAATCCGATGTACAGATGATAATTATTATTAGATTTGAAACATTTAAATTTTATATTAATAACTAAACTTTATTTAATATGTTGTTATCAAGGATATTTCAAAGTACAAAAAAAAAATTTAATGTGTTTTCTCTAGATTTCACATTTATAATTACAACAGAGCATTGATTATCCAAAACAATTTGAGACGGGTTGTTCAGATAACTGGGCATTTACTAAATAATATATTAAACACAAACTGTACTGTATAATTTTGTATCACACATCTTACAAATACATACCTTACATAAAGTAGTACATTAAAGTAGGCCTACAGTTTAGGTTGGCAGGGAGGGGGAGTGCTGTGGCGTCACAGCAGTAGCAGAAATTTGAATTTGCCGACTGGAATGCTTTCAGTTAACCGATGTTTTGGTTGATCAGTATTTAGATAATCGATGCTCTACTGTACTTTAAAACAGGATTATCAGATAGTTCTTCAGTATTAGCAAAACAAGTCTTTTTTTGTAATAACTCTTAAATTAAAACTAAATGTTGGTTCAGTTTTTTGTTTTAAAAATTTTTTGAGGTAAAATGATTGTGTAAAAGTATATTTATTTCTTCAACAAATTATATTTTATAATGATTCAATTTGTATTCTTCTTCTCTGTTATTAATTTGTGTGAAACTGAAAAAATTAAAAATACTTAGGTACAAAGTAGATATAAATTATGACCAGAATAATACTGTAACTAAACATATTTCCATTGAAATTAGACAGATTGGAACATTTTCCAATCGATTTTCAACGTAGTACAAGAAAAAATCCACTTATACATATTAACTTTTATAAATGATCTGGCTTTTATTTCTTCATGGTATTTATAATTAATATTAATCATCATCAAAATCGCTTTTTTTAATCAAAATTTAATAGGAAAAAACTGTTTAGTCGACTAGCATATAAAACTACACCTGCGCTACAATAATTTCATACGATCAAAGCTTCGACCGAAGATAAATAGACTGTTTATATTACGATCACAATACAAAATACCCCAAAACAAAGCATCAATATATCAATTTCAGTTTATTACAAATATTATCGGTAAAGGTAATTCGACGCTATTCCGTCGACGTTGTAACGACAAATATATATATTTTACGATCAAAAACAAATATAAAAGAGGAATAAAATGGAGGTAAAATGCGCATTTCGCAGCAACTCGACCCGCGGATAGTACACTTTTAAAATGGCGATCGGTAGCCAGAACTAAACAAACGATCATCGTTACCAGAACTAACTAACCTTCGTTTTGAACGATATAAGTATCGACGAAGCTCCCGAAACCGTCATGATTGGCAGTTTGAAAAATTCCAAATTAATCACAACTTCATAATTCCAAAATTATTATTTAAAATATGACATTAACACAAGCTGTATTAGAATAATCTTTTTAGGACGCCGAGCGATTGCGTCCGCCTAGTGGTCAGAGATCGATTAGATCAGCAACATTATTTTGGTTTCAGTTTTATGCTACTAGTTTTTTTTTACTTTTAATAAAAAAAGTAATTGCTCTCATTCATTTTTAAGAGTTTCTTTTTTATTGGATACGATAGAATAATAGAATATTTTAAATAAACGTATTTAAGTTTTGCAGCTAAAGTCATTTTTTATTTTAGTGATTGCTAATTCAAATTTTTACTAATAAAAATAAAAAATTTTATGGTAAAAGTTACATTGAAAACATGTTATAATGTTGTATTCACTTTACTAAAGTCAATATTTTGATAAATGATATTTTAAAGAGTATAGTATACTTAATTTTTATAATTATCATCATATTACCTTGCTGTACTGTACATATTTATTTCAAATACTGTACTGTATTTGAAATAAATATGCATCACTTTAAATTTAATATCTTGAGAATTTCAGTTGTATTAACTTCTTCAATAACGTCTATCAATTCAAAAGAACTGTTCTGGTACAAGATTTAAAAATTCGGTTATCTGGTAGAAAATTAAAAATCAGAATTTCAAAACATTTTTTTTTTAGTAACAAATGCTTAATATTTCTTTAAAGTAATTTTAAAGGAACAGAATGCATACTAAAAGATATTAGGGATGTTAAATGAAGTAGTAAATAAAATAAAACAGTCGTTAAATTTCCAAAATGTAAATTAATATATACTAAGGTGACCAGATTTTAACATTTGTGAAGCGGGACAAAATAGACGTGGAGAGTGAGGGAGTGGTTATTTTGTTGAAAAAAAAAACTGTTCTAGAGCAACAAAATTTTATCATCAAAGAACGCAAAAATTATATTGTATTATATTTTTTTAAATTTTAACATATGTAAAATTTACAAATACTGTATAATAAATATATATACTATTATAAATCTTTAAAAACTATTCTTTCGCATATTTTTCAGTTGAGTAAATTTTTTTTAGTAGATTGCTGTCGTTTAAAATGTCATGAAATTTTTCGCAAGAATTTGTTAAATTATATTTCACACAAAGTCTCAACACTTAATTGTGATTTATCAGATGTCCACACTGTATTTACGGTAGAAAAAAACGCGTTCAGTCGCGACATTAGTTCCTTACCAGGAAGTAATGCCGCCACTGAACGCGTTTTTTCTACCATATTTCACAATTTTTAATGCATTATTGCAGTGGTCCCCAATCCCCGGGCCGCGGACCGGTACAGGTCCGTAGATCAAATGCTACCGGGCCGCCCAAGGAACATAAAATTACTGGTATTTCCATTTTATTTACTATGGTGTATTTCTCTCGGGTTTGTGCGACTTTTAATGGACGACGGAACAACGGAATAAACTGGACATAAGAAACACACTTCGGTGTCATTGTCTCCTATTACCCCCAGATGGAACCGTCTTGTTGCAAAAAAACAAGCTCAGGGTTCTCATTGATTTAGCGTTCTAGTGAGTTAAAATGTTAAATCACATTATATTCATTTTTTGGTGTAACTATGTTTATTTTGAAGGCATGTTTAAATACAATTAAATTAAAATTATTAAATTAAATCAATCTAAAATATAAACAATCAACATCCCCCCTCAGTGGGCTGCGGTAAAATATCAAACGTTGACCGGTCCGCGGCGATAAAAAGGTTGGAGACCGCTGCATTATTGTATAGAACATAGTTTGTTCAAAATGATGAAATATTTCTAACCATTTGTTCTCTTTTGAGATTTTTGATGATGCCCAAAATTTAACCTTTTCCTTATCAATATATATTTTTAATAATGATACTTCATTAAAAAGATCATTTTTGGAAATACTACAATCTGGAAAATGTTGACTAATGTGATCGAATGATTTTTGCACATCTTCCCAATTAAGTTCTTGTTTTAATAGAACACAATGAAGATGTTCAATATCATTGTAATGTACAGTACCGTCCACTCTTCTAAATAATCTAAGCAGTTACTATATGACTTTTTTATGTGATTCATGAAATCTGCGCGATTTGTTGCATCTTGTTCTTCTGACTTATACTATTACAGACGGTTAACTATATTTTAACAATTATTTTAATCCTTCTGCATTTATTTCTAAATAATAATACATAATACTAACTTGTATTACTTTTCCACTAAGTTTGCCTTGAGTGTCACTTTATTATTGTAATTTTTTTTAATTATATAATACTGTCGAAACCAAACTGAACCCCAGCCCAACCGCTAGCAATAGAACGATGCAAACCGATGTGCTTATTCTAACTAGTCGTTAGCTTTTTAAGGCCAGACTAGAGCTCTGCGCTATGTAATATGCAACGAAGAAAATGTTCGCTCGTTTGAACAGCTTTTTTTTTTAAATACTCTTTCCGTCCTGTGGGCACTAAGAGGGCCTCTTATAGCAGGCCCATTATGGGTTCGGCCAGGTCCACAATGGGGCGACCGGGTAGTGAGGGACGGGGCCCAACATATCCGAACGGACGTTTGGACAGCCTGTGATGCTCCTTTGCGGCAGCTGCACGCCTAAAATCATTTTCTGTCGGTCTTTGCCACGAACACAAAAAGTTTTGTCGCGCAGCATTCTTTATTTCCGATGCTCACGCATACCTTGGTACTGATACGTGTGACACAAAATGATCTTTACGAATCTTAACCGCTTCCCTTTTAGTTAATGGACTTGACATTCAAAATTCGTATTAAATTTGCATCAATGTAGGTTAAACTAACAGAGTATTACACCTATGACCCCCGCCGATTTTGATGAATTTTGGCATCTAAAAGTTTCATTTTATGGACTATAATGAGCAAGTTACGATTGAATATGGAATTCTAATATTGGACGACTAATACAGTAGTCGTCCAATATTGTTGTAGTGTTGAGATAGGATATGTGGAGTGTCAAAGAAGGATAGAATAAGGAATGATTTTATTAGAGATTCTGTTAAGTGGGCCTCTTGAGCAGGAAGATGTAAGAATGCAGGTTGAGGTGGTTTGGCCACGTAGAACGAAGAAGCGACAATTATGTTGGAAAGAAGATCGGAAAAGCGGTAATAAAAGGAAAAAGGAAAAGAGGAAGGCCAAAGATGCCAGAGGGGACTTAAGAGAGAAGAAGTCCTTGATAGGGAGAAATGGAAGAAACGTATTAGAGAAGGAAATGCCGAACCCATATAAACATGGGAAAAGGCAAGGATAAAGACGACTCAGGAAAGGGAAAAGCGAAATAGAAATAATAGTGGCCTTCAATAAATAAATAATGCTGTTTGTTTGTTTTAGTTATGGCAACGCAACACTTGGGCGATCTGCCTAGGACAAGAGTGGACAACAGTTTTTGCCCCCCGGGCCGAATTGGAAAGAAAACTTTTTCCACGGACCGAACCAGAGGCTGGCCTAGGAAGATTTTGCGGTGGTGCGAGATCTCATTGTGGTGTCACCCTGTAGAGACTAAATTGTAGATAGAGATTACAGACACATTTTTCACGTTATCATGCTTTATCAACATTCTACGCTGTACTTACGAGATTTGTAATGGAGGGTTAACTCTAAATGCGCAGTGAGTTGTTGACCTTTTTTTTTTAGTCGTCAGAATTTTTTTCATCGAGCTATCCGGAGTTGAGTAGCTAATATTAAAAGATTGATCGAGGGCCACATAAATTCATTAGACGGGCCGTATGTTGGGCATGCCTGGCCTAGGGGGATGCCTTCCGGGAGCTCTTTTTAGGGAAACGCCCATTTAGACATTACAGACGTGGAGAAAACCCGGAAAACTCCACGTGGCCAGCCCGTCCGAACGAGGCGCGAACCCACGACTGAACTCCGTGATCATGGAAGGAAGACCGCTTGGCCGCTGGTGGGCAGATAAATAATGCGCACAATTATTTGCGACAGTGGGCACTTTTTTTATAAATCTCTTTCGATCACAATCTAGAGTAGGCATGGCCAACATACGGTCGAATGAATTTATGTGGCCCGCGATCAATCTTTCAATATTAGCTACTGAAATCCGAATAGCTAGATGAAACAATCTGACGCCTAAAAAGAAAAAAAAAAGGTCAACAACTCACTATGCATTTAGAGTTAAGTTAAAACTGTAAATTTCTGTGTACTTTTGCATAGCAAAAACTTACAAATGAGATGCGAGCAATATTTTGAATCATGCCCTAACTGCTCTGGAATTTTTGTGGGGTGGACCGGATACGTCGGCTCACGTCCTTCACCATCCGGATGCCCTATTGTGGGCCTGGCCAAACCCATAATGGGCTTGCTAAAAGAGGCCCTTTTGGAGCCCACAGGGCGGAAAGAATTTTAAAAAATCTGCTGACAGAGAAATACCTCCCGGGAAATATTTTATGGAAACTAACGAATTACAAGGGAAAAAGAGAGTTTTCCGAGGCACCTAATTTGCATAAATTCACGAAAGGCCGATCTCCTCGGAACCTGGGCGCATGTCTGCAAGGGTCCAAACTTTACCAAGAAACTGTCCAAAATCGCCGAAAACGTCAAAGGTCAAACCCGGAATACAAAAGGAAAAGCCAGGCTTCCAAGTCGCCTAATTTGCATAATCTCGCGCGGCCGACTTCCCTGCAATGTCCAACTGCCCAAAACACCTATAAAACTGTCCAATTCTCGCCGGAGTCAAAAGTCAAAGATCAGACAACAAAAATACCACAGTTCCCAACTCCTCATTTGTATAATCTCACATTCAAACTTCTGAATTTGCATAATCTCGCCGTCATTATGTAAGGGGATGACGCATACTGACATGAAAAAACTCGGAAAATTTTGGGAAACAGGCCCTATTTAAGGGTTACTGACGAAGAAAACCCGGGAAACTCCATATGGCCAGAGGCGCGAACCCACGACCAGTGTTACGTAGTTTTCTCCACTCGGCAACGGTGGGCACACCTTGTGTATGACACGACGATTAATTTGACTATATTTTCTATGCTACCCATATGAAATGTGTGTAGTGTACCTGATTTTTCTAGAAGCACAGTGTTCGCTTGTTTGGCACCTTCAGACACCTGACTTCTCAGAGTTTGCCAATTCCAGTTACGTTTTTAGTCTTTTAACACAAAGGCTGCTTGCGATCCCATAGCACAATACTGTAGTTTGCGACATATTTGCTGATGATGAACATTTAAAATCATAATAGTCTTCGGAAAGGAAGAGATATCCTTCCAAAGTAGGTAAATTATTTAAATTGTCTATTGAAGAAAGAAGTTAATTAATAAACTTGACACATTACCTTTATTTATGATGAAAGGATGTTAGCACAATTAATGTGGAACAATAATACATGCTAGATATTTTCCGTTCGACGTCTCTTTGGGACATAAGATCATCTATCATAGTTTCAAGTCTCATATAATTGGTTTGCAAACATACTATCTTCTTCGGAAGCCGATTCTACCTGTTAAAAAATAGTGCAGTAGTATTGTTATGTTTGAAGGATTAGCTGACGTCTATGTAATATTTACCATTTCATATAATGATCCATAACGTATTGTGATAATTCAAGATAATTCTTTTAAAATTTCAAAAGGATTGACGTTTTCTGATGTGACAATGTTGAGACTCGACTCGAGTTTCCATATTGACTTAACTTTAATCACAAAAATTTCCTCTCATCGTCTGCTTTTTCTCTTCTTCTTTTTCTCGGGGTTCATGTGGAGATTCACTTTTTCTCTTCGCGCCTCCAGCTACAAGCGAACCTCCACTCTCCAAAAACGCCCTCTCGTGTCTGATTTCTTATTTTCCGAATCCGAAGACATCGTCTGTTCTTAACTAACCTCGGTCAGCAAAACGTATTAGACACGCACTTATCTGTAAATATTCGTTACTCATAAAGAACAAAAAAAAAAAATTACAATCGTAACATAGTTAAAAACCAAAAAAGTTATGATAGGACGGAACCTCTACAAGCTAGCAATATGGCAGCAGACTACGTAGATGGATTTCTTAATTTTTAAACCTCGATAACTCGCTCATTATGGCCTATAGAATGAAATGGTTTGGGGGTTGTATTACGGTATCAAACACCAACTTCGTATCAAAATCTTAGGTGAAGTACTCCTTGTTAGTAATCACTGACTGGAAAGAGAAAAAAAATTTACAACCTTTTGTCTGTGTTTTATGACATGTACTGTACGGTTTTAACGATATAATTTGGAAATCACATGTCCCAGACTTATGAGATGTCTGTGTTAATTTCAGCTTATATTAAATATAGAATTAAATATAACACTATTTTTTTAAAAACTCTTTCTGCCCTGTGGGCACTAAGAGAGCCTCTTTTAGCAAGCCCATTATGGGTTCGGCCAGGCCCACAATGATACGGTCGAGTGGTGAGGGACGGGGCCCGACATATCCGGACGAACCACTCTAGGGGACACGTCCGGATTCGATTCAGCATCCGAGCGGTAGGCTGCCACCTTGACCGCTCGGCCATCCGGCCGCATATTTAGGATTTAATTATTTCAGTCGAAGCGGTAGGCTGCCACCTTGACCGCTCGGCCATCCGGCCGTCTAATTTAAATACTAGCCTATATCAGCGGCGGCTCATAATAAGTACTGCGGAATTGTAGCACATTTAAAAGAAAACTAAAACCATAAAATAATATTTTAATTTTTATTACATATTAATTATATAAATTAATATACATAATTAAAATTTATGTTTTTATAAAAACCAAAGATGATTAAAATAGTAGACTATATAAAATAAAAACAATTCTATTAGTGTGTTTGTGCACCTCACGCTCTAACAGAATCGTTTTTATTTCATATACAGTACTGTACGTTTAACACTGTACTGTTTGAAAGTGTTATGCTGTCGCAGCACTGTTAAACAGTACAATGCCATTTTCCACATTTCCTGTTTAGAGAACAGCGTTCTGTCACCGCTCCTCATAATTCGATGAAATGCTCGAGATGGAGCTGCACTGTTTAGCATTGCTGTCGCAAGCAGTGTGATCGCATAGCAGAAATTAGTTATTGATGGTCTGTTCGAAAACGCTTGTCGATTCAACCAATCGGACTGGACGTCATTCAAAAACGTTACCTATAAAGTTACGGTTGATATACCTGTTATTACCAAACTTGCCGATTTCAAAAACTATTTTTTTTTTACTTTTTTGCCGTTTTGCCTTATGGACTGAGTGCCTATTTCTATAGTAATCTTGTTATGGATTCGGCCCAACCCACAATGATGTGGCCAAGTGATGAGAAACAGACCGGATGTATCTGGGATGGACAACCCCGAAAAATTTCTGGTGTTTTTTGACCTCTTCCGGATTCAACACCGTGTTCCCAGAGTGGTAGGATGCCGCTCGGCCATCCGGCCATCGCTGTTGATATCTATGAAACTAAGAATATCTTTCCGCACTTCTGACAGTGTTACAGCGACAATTGCAGCAAAATATGGAAAAATTATTAAAAGGAATCCATATTGGATAAGTAAAATAAGTAATAAGTAAAATTACAGAAATTCTATCTAGAAGTTGTAAATCTACAGTTGCTTATGAATATTCTCCAGGTGAAATTGATGCATTCAAGTATGTACAGTACTGTACCAATTACACTTTATGATGTAGACAAGAAAGTTTTCTCATTTAAAAAATATTTTAGAAGATAAGAGGACTTATTTTTTACAGAGTAATTTGGAAGACGTTCTCGAAGTTTATCACAATAACAATGTAAAAAAATAGTATATTATTCAATTAGTTTATAATATAGGCAATTATAAACGAATTGTCATACGGTATTTTGTGGTTAGACTACAGCTCTAAAACTATACTTATGAAAATCAAAATTATGTATAAACACAGTTTTTGTGTCAACCGTGCCACAAACATCGCGTTTATACATGATTTTGAGTTCCATAAGTATAGTGTTATAGGTATAGTCAACCATAAACAACTTTAAAATATATACAGATTTTTTGAGTATTTCTTCTCCCACTTTTTATTTTTAAAATTAAACAATATAACGAAAATTCTATGGACGAATAATTTATGTAAAACAATTTAATATTGTTTACACTAAATGTCAGTATATAATCAGTAGCAGACTATTCTTCGAATCAATTTGATTTACATTGAGGCTTTTTAAGAGCCTATTTTCAATGTTAGTGCATACTAATTCGTCTATTTTGAACTTTTAAGTTCCTATTTTTTCTGCCTATTTATACGAATTTTAATGTCTAGCTATCATAGCCTTAATTATTACATGCTACGGGACTATTTCTAGGAAACCGGGATGGTTGTTACCCAATTCCTTTTGTCGTTATAATCTTATAATTTTATTAAAAGTTTCAAATCAGAAATTATACCAAAGCAATTATTGGAGAGAATATCGATAATTAATTAATTGTATATTTAAAAATCAACTACATAAGTTTCATTGAAATCATGTATTTTGAATAAACTTTTTCCATATTATTTGTTTAAATTAGCTTTGTATCATAATAGATATTTATATTGAAGATTTTTAATATTTTAAAACGAAAAATAATAATAGAAATATTTAATTTTCGATTAAATACAAAGCGCATTTTTCGTAATCTACGACATCGCGGCTATTTTTAACAAATTTGGGCGAATTTATTTCCTTGTTTTTACGAAAATGTTCTAAGTCTAACAAAGATGGAGGTCGATTTTGTTCTTGCTATAGCTATCGTCTCGGTGTTAATTGCGTTGTTTTTAACTGTGTTAGCTTATTTAACTTATTCTGGCTTATTTGTCGATATTGAAATTAAAGCGTGTAAACCTCCATTCGAAACATTGACAGTAGCCTATAAATTCGCTCGAGGACCTTACAAAAATTGCGGCCAATTGTTTACAGAAGTGCATAATTTGGTCCCCGAAATGAAATGTATCGGAGTTTATTATGATGATCCCGAAGAGGTAAAAATCTTTCAATTTTACTTTGTTATTTATTGAAACATATGAGGACATTTCAAGGACGCTACCATCACATTTTGCATAACTATCGCAAGTTCTTTATGAATTAATCAAATTTTCAAGACGGAGAGAAGAAGGAAAGTTTTAAACTATACAATTTTACATTTCATTTCAAGTAGAGATGATATAAAATTTATTTTGGGTACTTTATTTTGATATATTATAAAAGACTTAAGATCTGTTACTGTGCTTTTGTTTTCTATCATGATTTCCTTCATAAATAATATAACAGATACTTCACATGATTAGGAATTTTGTTCTTATGACAAATCTTGTCTGAAACTTGTATAGCTTTCACTAGATTGAGAAATGAATTTTTTCCTATATAATATCTAATTTACCTGCTGTAGGCCAGAATATTTTTGATTCACCCAAGAATTGAAAATTATTTTTGAAAATAAATTAATTTTCTTCAAATATAAGAGTTTATTTTAAAAGAAACCATTCATTTTAACTTAATATGTTGATAAACTTTGTGTATTAAAGTTCATATTGTATCAATATTATAGTATACAAGCAATTTTCATATAATTCAGACAGTTTTGTCTGTTTCTTGATATACTATTATATTTATGCCATTTCTTGCTATATTTAAGTTTTCTGAAGACTATTTGGATAAAAATAACAATTGCATTTTTCAGGCTTAATTATTTTGGAGCTTTTTTTTTTCAAAGTTGACATGGTTATAGTTGTTATATTCCATTCCTTTCATTGTATGGCATAGAAAGGACAATTATGATGCAGTTGATATTGTTATTGAAGAGAGCCTATTTCATTACCTGATAAATAGAACTCAAAATGAAAAGATCACTCAATAGTGTCAAATTATCTTTGTAAATAGCTGAATATCCTAATAATATATTTGTCATAATGTTACTATTACAGTATATGGCCTAAACATGATTACATGTTCATTAAAACTAAATAACAACAAAACCTGTTAAATTAAAATTAATGCAGTTGTTGGACAAAAGTTCTTTCATTTATTAATTATAATTTAATATTGTTTTTGTAGCATTATAGTATATTTTGTTCTAACTACTTAAATTTTTTAATAGGGAAATATGGCTTGGATAATTAGTGTTGAGGTTGTACGAGAGACAATTGTTTTTGATTTCTCTATTTTTGTGTGCATTTTATTTAAATTTTCACCAGTTTTCACCAAAAAAGAACAGTTTAAAAGTTGACTTACGACAATTTATCAAAAATTTAAATGAAATGCACTTTGATTTAGAGAGATCTGAATTTGGATTTTTTGATTTCATTAAACAGAATGAATGTATTCAGAATATGTAATGTTAGAATATGTGTTGCAAATGCAATTCACAACAGTGATTGGTACTTTTGACAATAAGCTGGAAAGCTTAAAAGTATTAAAGTTTAAGTGGAATTTTTCATTTTGATCACATTCATAGTTATTGTACAGTACATACTACATCTATACAAAATACATCAATACTCATTACATTTCTAGAAAATAATGCAGCAATGGAGAACAGCATTACATCTCAGACTTCAAGATGCAAAACATCAAACAAACCAAATACACATAAGGCAAGACATTTTCTAGTGAGACTCATTAAGTCCACTTTGGTTTTGTCTGGCCTTGAACCACTGTACCACACTGATTGAACAACACTGAATATGGATCTCAAGCATAAAGAAACAACACAATATATACAGTAGAGCATCGATTATCCGACCCCTGATCAACTGTCACATCGGTTAACCGACCACGTTCTAGTCGGCAATTTCAAATGTCCACTAGTGATGTGGTGCTACAATATTTGCCTATATCTTAGCTACTTTAATATTATTTTTGTTAAACTTTGCATGTTTTAGCTGGCAACACTGGCTCGACCATGAAAGGGAGGTCAGTATTTAAACGAGGCTTAATTTTGTAATTATGAATGGTTGTTCGTTTTGTGAGCAATAAAATAATTTAAAAATAATTTTTAACGATACAATAGCGACAATTATTATTTAAAAAAAAAATTTTGTTAGGCTTAACATCGATGAAAATTCAACACGAAATAGGTTAATAGCGATATACTAATATACTAATTGCATGGGATATACTAATAATGTATTTTTTCATACTTTTCGGTTATCCATTTTTTCAGTTATCTGATCAACCCCAGTCCCCAATCGAGTCAGATAATCGATGCTCTACTGTACCACATCTTACATACATGGACAACAAAATTCTATGCATCCACATAAGCACAGCTAAATCACCTATTAGAAGTTGCATACACTTACTCTACTGAGGGTGCGTTTACTTCTGAGTTAGCAGTGCTAATTCTGATAACCGGATGTGACGTCATTAGCACGTGTATACGTGCTTGCTTGTCCAATTCGAAAGTGAACACATACGCTAACAAGAAATATGGCTGGAAACCGCCATATTTCTTGTTAGCGTATGTGTTCACTTTCGAATTGGACAAGCAAGCACGTATACACGTGCTAATGACGTCACATCCGGTTATCAGAATTAGCACTGCTAACTCAGAAGTAAATGCACCCTTAGAAAATGTATTTAAAAGTTTCCTTAGGTGCTACCGTCACTTCCGGTACACAGAGTGTTGACCTAACTTCGAGTTACGTAATTTTTGTTGCTGGCTCTATCTCCTTGTTCGAAATTCCAGGGAAAATTTGATGGAGTATTTTTCAATTATTTGAATCAACTCGATATCTGAGTGTCGGTTCTTCGAACAAGTAACAACTTTGTCATCTTTTGGATGCAGTCAGTCGCAAATCANAGTGAACACATACGCTAACAAGAAATATGGCTGGAAACCGCCATATTTCTTGTTAGCGTATGTGTTCACTTTCGAATTGGACAAGCAAGCACGTATACACGTGCTAATGACGTCACATCCGGTTATCAGAATTAGCACTGCTAACTCAGAAGTAAATGCACCCTGACATTCAGTGGAGTTTGGCAAAGACAAATGCAGAACACTTCACTTAGATCCTGAAGAAAGATTATGTATGTATGTGAATGTATCAATGAATCCATGGATGAGGATGAAATCTACATATATTTACTCACAAGAACATGCACAATAAAACAAAAACTAACAAAAGAATATGACAATATTTTAAACATAATACTAACTAAATAGCTGAATGCAAACCCACATATAAAGTAATCAATGCATGTTATCTCAATATTGACATTTCATGTGGAGTTATATATTGGAAACACACACAGAACTGAACAACTCCAAAAGAAAATACAATCAACATTAACAAAATACAACTGACAACATCCTAAGTCATCCATAGAAAGGCTGACTCTTTCTCATAAAGAGGTAGGATGAGGCCTCAGAGATTTTAAACCTGCACTAAAAGCATTGTTTTTCTACAGAAAACAAGAAACATTACACTTACACAAAGCTGTAACTCTTGCAGACAGAAACTGTATATCATTAAACTTATATATAATTAAACTTATAAAACACTATCTGGATCTAACACAGTACACAAAATGCACCATCAGGCAGTTGTGGGCTCAGACAGAGGTCCAAGTAGGCACTCCAACAACATCTGTCAGGATGACAAAACTGTATAAAATTATGGCTGACTCATCTGCCTCTTTAGAGTCAGAAGGGTTCATGATTGCCATACAAGACCAGGTCATAAATACAAGAAACTACAGAAACTATATCTTAAGACACAACATTCATAGGTGACACCTGTATGAAATGCCACATCATGCACAAGACTATGCAACACATTGCATTGGGTTTCATACTTTTAACTTAGACTATTTACATCAATATAACCAAATAGTAAGTACTAGTAGCCCGGGAAGCCTCCTAGTGGGCATTGTTTACAAATTTCCATGAAGCACGGTTCCTTTGACTTTTTTCTTCCTATCAATATGCTCTACAGCTCTGTTGTAGTCCCAATGGTAAGATTAGGTGAAGAGATGGCAACCCCCCCAAACTGTAGCCCACTGTGCGAACAATAAAGGCAAAGGAACCATACCCCTACTCATGACCCTTCGCAAGATATAAGCCCATGAAATAATAAATTTCTATTACAAATATACTGAATTATTTATATTGTTATATTGACCAAATAATAATTTATTGGCCAAATGAATAATAATAATTCATATTGTTAATTTAAATAATAATTAAAATTGTTAATTTAATTTGAATGTTTGAAATATGACACACGATAGGGGTGCCCGTCTAGTGTCCGTTATCAAACGGTTACGGGACGGACGGACAGATACCTGTTGAATTGGTTATATACATAGATAATACATGAAAAGTTTGCCTACAAATACAAACTTCTACAGGTTCAGAAACCATACACATCTCAAATGGTCATAGAAAATAACACATGCAAAATATATTAAACTGAGTCATAATCTCAGACAAAACAAACCATTACATTTATTGAAAGACAAAACAAAAGCACATACAACATAGACATAGGCTGTACCAAACACCCACAACATACAAAATACATAAACTGAAAATTTTGATAAATATTCAGAACTTGTCCATGAAATAAATTGTCTATGGAGAATAAGGTATGTATTGTGCCAGTTCTCCTTTCTTGCACATATACAAAATTCTTGAAACATTATATGGCAGCCTTTTGTAGAGTGATGTATGTACTGTTAGAAAGCATGAAACATGTCAAAAAAAATCCTTAAACTCATACATACACAAACAGCACATAAATAAAACATTTACTTTCTGTAGTTATGTCTTGACTGGTCTTGCATAGCACTAAGCATCAGTATTTGTCATGTAGAATATATTTCAACATCATCAAATAATAATAAAGTGGGAAAAAAGAAACAAAATGTAGATTTCATTCTATACAGTGTTAACTATTGAAACAAAACTAAAAAGCATTGGAACATATTTACAAGTGGAGAACCTATAACAACAGTTATTTAACAAATTGATGTTCTA